TTCTAAAAAAGTTAGAGTACAAACAAAAGAGGAACAATAGGGGGTCCCCAGTTGCACGCAAATACATACATGTGTGTGTGTGTGTACAAACACAGCGGAAGTCACTCATGTGAAGAGATGAGGATAGAGTGCATTGGTTCGGCAGGATTGCCCAGTTGATTGATCTGCACGATTGGTCGAATCCGCGTAAAATTTCTACTCCGCATCCCCGTTTTGAAGCAATCTTTCGCAACCACGAATCAGAAAGAAAGCACATTTGCTGATGGCGGACCTATCGACAAATCATGCAGTAAGATTGAGTGATCGCGCGGAGCTTGAGCCATCGGGCAAATCGGCCAATCATGCCCAATGTATACATGCACACCACTCAGCACTGCTTGCAGAATTTGCCAGACGTCCTCTGTGTTAGGACAGGGGAAATCCCTGGCGTCGCTGAGGTAATGCAGGGTTTTATTATTCAATATTTACAGGTGTAAGCCTGCTGCTGTTCCAGAATCAAACCGAGATCAACCCTCTGGTGCTGACGTATCGTGTGTGTTTCTTTCTACTGTGGTTGGTCATCCTGGTCTTCCCGTTCGTGCAGGTAAACCGCCGGCAGGTTTTCCCTGGGGTCGGGGAGTGTTGCTGTCAAGTCAAGAAGATCATGTGATAAAAATCATCATAACTCAACTGGACAGCAAAAGAAACTTGCCACTTCTGTCAAAGACCACACATAAAAATTCACTCCATAGAAATAAACAATTTTTGTACACAGGTATGTTGCAATACCCCTCACTAATCACATGACCAAAAGCAAATGATTATCTTTATAACAAAGATGAAATTGACATGCACAGCAACTTGGTTACTGAATCAGAAGTCACAGAATGTAACAGAATAAGCCTTAAGTTTTACGTGGAAATCAATGTCATAGGACGAAATAAAGAAGTCGCAGTCATTACTTTTCAATAATGTATATGCATAGTCAGTAAGGATGGCATCCCTATGCAGAAACCACTCATGCACGTCATTTTGACAAAACAGGTGTTCAGTTTGTCATTGGTTGTTTAAAATGTTGTCCATTCAAGGGGTCATTTTTGCTTGGTGGAGAGTGCTTTTGTGTGACTTTTGATTCAGTAACCAAGTTGCTGTGCATGTCAATTTCTTCTTTGTTGTAAAGATAATCACTTGCTTTTGGTCATGTGATTAGTGAGGGGTATTGCAGCATACCTGTGTGCAAAAATTGTTTTTTTTCTATGGAGTGAATTTTTATGTGTGGCCTTTGACAGAAGTAGCAAGTTTCTTTTGCTGTCCAGTGTATGTCACAGGTCACTCAGTCTCGGGTCAAATGACGGGCATTCTCAGTGACACGTCCGAGACGGAGGAAAACTGGCTTGCTGTGTGTACAGCATTCTTGTACGAAACAGCACACCTTTGGTGAACTTTGCTGCGGTCCAAACTGCCCATGCTCGCGTGAAAGCACGTGTTGAGCTTGTAAGCTGCTGCGTGGGTGCATTCTTTGTGGTCATTACGTGGACTAACTAGCGGTGCATCCTGAATCTGTATATGTTTAGGAAAATGGTTTAAAGTTCTTGAGAAGTCTGAGACCTGACATCGGACACCTTGGAATGTTTGTTAGCAAAAGACATCTCACTTCACAAGGATACTTTATTTTACAAGTTAGCCATGTGGAACTGAAAACGAGGCAAACTTTTCATTTCGGGAACCTTAGGGGAACAAAATGACAAAACCATTTTTTTAAGTTCATTACAAATTTATGCCACAAAAATTCTACAGAAATATTTCAACATGTACAACCTAAGAGAACTAAAATTTGCAGATGGTCCAAAAATGGTACTGCTCACCTCAGGGGACCAGTGATGAACTGTCCCATGTTACTTCACACACAGCCACCCTCCAATAGACTTTAATATACTAAGGAAGCCTCAACTTCAGGAAAATGATGCATCTCTTCCTGAAAAGGCCAGTTTTACGGAGAGAAGATTTTTAATAGAAAGGGCGACAGAGATCTGCTGCAAGTGATTCAATTCCTCTGTTTTTCTTCAATTACATCCAGTTTTATTGCATTAAGAATGCAGCAAAAGAGATGCTAGATATTTTAAGAACACCATAAAGTCAAATGTAGTCAACATGGAATTTTTATGTGGAATTCCTGTTGAGTTCATTGCCCAGGTGGGACATCATTTTTGCCATTTTCATCATTTGTTTAAAGAATATAATCAATTAGCATATTCGGTGTATCACTCAATGCATCAACTGCTCACAAAAGTGCTCAGCGCAGTGAACAAACTCGGACACTAATCTATTCCTCCGATGCTGTTGTGATCTGGATTCACAGTCAGTGAAAGTGGTTTTGGGGAAAGAGGTCATTGCAAATTAGGGTCTTTTTGACTATTTTTGACTGCTAGTGAATTAAATCTATATGTATATTTATCAGAAGAGTAAGCCAAACATTTGTTTTATTTTTTTTTTACTATGAAAGACCAGCAGGGTGTTATCTAGCCTGTCCACCTGTTCTCAGGACAGGCCAAAAACAAATTTGGACAGGGTCAGGGCAGGTTTTGCTAGCTCAGAGTTAACAAATGTCATGTTTTACGTCAAACACTTGTGAACAAGCTTTGACTTTTCCTTGCACAATACTGGTAGCAGTGGAAATATGGCCTCAAATGATCTCAGAACTGACTGGTGTCATTTTCAAAAATTCCTCTGGGAAAGGGTTGGAAAATATTTCAGTTCTGAATAAATCCTTCAGATCAGCCAGCGCAAACATCTCAAGTTTCTCTACAATTGGTGCACAACTCTTCTTGGGACCGTAGGCTGGATCAAATACCAAACTGATCAAGAATTATTCAGCAGAGCCACGGTATTCTCTCGCAGCACATGAGATTTTGAAATTTTCGAAATTTAAGCAGCTGTGTATGAAATTATGGACAACTTGATTGTCAGCTGGGTTGTGGATCCAAGGTGGGTCCCTTGTCAGTTGAGGTAGATTGGGCAGTGTTGGACTTTGGTTTGACAATGTTGGTTGGGGGGTCAGTTGGGTTCTGGCGGTCTAGTCGGGTTTGTGCAGGTGGTGACGGGTTCATGTGGGGTTGGGTTTGTCTGGGTAGGCTAGGATTGGGCTGAGGGCAGCTGGGTGGAATTGGTTGGATTCTGTCGGTCCGGTTGGGTTTGTGCAGCTGGTGAGGGATTCATGTGGGGTTGGATTGGATTAGTGTGGTTGTTGGGTGGGGTGGTTGGATTCTGTTGTTCCAGTTGGGGTTTTGAGGATGGTTGCAACATTTTCATGCTGGGTTGGGTTAGGCTTGTAAGAGGCAGTCTGGATTGGGCTGGGCGCTACTGGGTGGGGTTGATAAGGGGTCTATTGGCCCAGTTAGGTGTGTGTGGGGGTGATGATGGGTTCCTATGTGGTCAGTTGAATTGAATCATTTGGTTTATTGCAGTAGCCCAAGTCCCACCCCATGGCATTGATTCATTCATTGTTCCAATCCTCTCTTGCAATAACCCTGTTTGACCATGTCAGGCTGCCAGATTGAGTTCCATCTACAACAAAATCGAGCAAGCGGCACTGGAGATGCGAGTGTTTGGATACCTGACCAGCACACCGCGGGATCTGGACTCTTTCTTGCAGTTTGTGACCCTGGCCAAGTACAAGGTAGAAAAGTGAATAACCTTACCTCCACTAGGCCTCCATTTTTTTTTCAGAAATACTGACCACAAGCTTTGTTATGACGATATGCCAACTGCTTGTAAAAAGACCATTGAGCAGAATCTTTTGTACAGGTTGCAGTGAGCCCCACCTGCTTTTGGATGTTACCAATTTTTCAAAGACACAGACCAGCGTTTAACCTGAACTAAGCAATTCAAGTCACCTCTGTGCGTTGCATTTCTGATGTGATCTCGCATTGTTGCAAGTGGAGCCTTTGATAAACCCTGACAGTCCCCAATCCTCTGAACTCAAAATTATTTTACGCACACCCTAGGGGGCTAGGGTTGAGCTTTGCAGGTCTGTATAAAGCTCCACAAGGGAGTTAGTGGAAATTCTCTTGCAGGATTTAGAAGGGTTAGGGCCCAGTTGCAACGGGCGACCTGAAGCCAGGGGCGCGGTCAGGGTTGCCACTTTAGGGGGATAGTGGGGGAGCTTGATGCAACCGTGGGGTGGGGGCAGTTCCCATCCCAGTGTATTCTTAACCCTAACCCCCTAGGGCGTATGTAAAATCATATTGAAATTGGAGGATTTGGGAGTGTTAGGGTTAATACTCTTATTTTGCTTCTTTTCCAAAGTTCCAGTAGGGGCAATGGGTTTTTTTAAGGGGGGGCATGGACCCCCAAGCCACCCCACCCCCTGGCTGCACCACAGCCTGAAGCCCCTTGAAAGTGTTGATGGATTTTGACTGCAGTAAAGTATTTTTTAGGATTGTGGAAAGTTGTTAGCAAGAATGCCTGGGAAGTGAGAGTTAATATGTACAAATTTTGTTCGCCAGGATGAGATTCTTAACATCCATTGTAGGATTTTGCATCTTTTTAACCACTTAGTCCCCTCGGAATGAAAACAATTCACATCAGGCCCATTTAGTATTTCCTCAACCCCCTATACACCAAAAGGGCAGTATACATATGAATAATGGTCATAAATGTCCTCAGACTTCACAAATATTCCCAATAGACTGACTGTATCAATTGATCAACCAATTGGGTACATCGATACAGTGATCATTCCCTCCAGGCCTAAGGTATTTACCAACGGACCAATCACTTGCTTTGATACAAGCTCATCGGCCAATCCTTGCCACTGTTCGATACACTTGTGGCCATCCAATTCTTGAACGGGCAGGTGCGGCTCCTCTTCATCCCCGTGGACAAGTCCCTCGTCTATGGCATCCTCCTGCTGACGACGTTCCTCCTCATCGTCCTTGTCCAGACGGGGATCATCGTGGCGCCCTCCCTTTACCTGTAGGCCGCAATCAACCGGGGACCAAGCACGGGACAACCCCTCCCCCCCCAAAAAAAGGCACAAGAAGTAAGTATTTATTTATTCCACATGAAATGTGGAATGGACTATTTTAAAAATAAGTTGAGCAGGAAGAAGATGGGACTCCACTGTTGAGTCACTGGGAAAACTTGCGATTGAGTATATGATGACCGAGTGAGTTTGGCATCTCAACTACGCATACGCACATCAAGATCTGAACTGTTTATTTTTTCGATCATGGAAAAAAATATAAATTAAGTTACAGGACGTGAAATGTCGGAAAACTGCAGACAGAACCAGATTTAAAAGTCCTTTCCACGTCCCAACTGAAGTAAAGTGAGCAGTATTTTCCAGTGTGCTGAAATTGATATTTCCGAATGGTGACTCAGAAAAAGTGTGTCAGGCATTATGTTGCAACAAAAAAATTCTTCCATTGAAACTTTCGTGAACTGTAAAGATTTTCTGGTATTGAAGTATTATTTGGCATTCCAAGAATGACTTTGCAATTTTAAATGAAAGGTTTTCCTTTTTTTGTGTGACTTGTTTTGTAAGAAAGATCCAGGTGTTTAAACAGTTAGCAAATTATATTTGTAATACCTGTTTTTTTTTAATACTTGTACTCTCTGTGGGGACTTTGTACCCCTGAGTCCTGCAAGTCTTTTTCCCTGTCGAGCAAATTTCCAATGGCAAAATGTGAACTGTTCCCTATTGGTTTATTTGAATTTTCTCCCTTGGCTCAAACTTGAGCCGAACAGAAAACATTTGCCAAGAAAATGTTGTTGGCATGCCCTATTTTTATTTATCTCTTTTTTCCAAATGGAAATTTTTTGTATTTGTTTGTGCTAGACGAACAATGGAAATATCCGAAAATGTATTTTAATTGAATTATGTGAACTGTTATCAACTTGAAAATAATGATCAAAGTTAGAAGAATTTTGCACGAGAGTAAAGGCAATGTAATGTGTATTTCGTTCCTCCCTTTTAAAAAGGTTACTGTCATCACATCTATTTACATAGTGCATTTTTGTATTTAGCCCTAAAAAGTATAATATATATTTATATAAAAACGAATAGTTGTCAAATGTAACAGCGGGGTTAGGGCTTTCTTGGTGTACAACCCTCTGGATTCTGATCTAATACTTCCTGTTTGGTATTGTGTGCGATCTGAAGCCGTGATAAATGTTAGTAGTATTGTTCACAGGACAAACTGCTTGGTACAGTTTATTTGTAGGAGTGTAGGCCAAGTCACGCCAGGCGTTTTTCAGCAGGTGCCCGCTTCAAGGCATCTCGTGAATGCACAGCATGCTGTAGTCTTGGCACTAGTCGTTCTCAGTCGGGCTGGTACGGTAGAGGTTTTTTTTTTTAAATCTGCTGTACATTTGTTCTGTACGTTCGCATCTGTGCACTGACTCAGTCAAGTCTCTCTAACAAGGAAAAAGTCTGGACCCATTGATCGTGGCATGAAAACAACTCCCCACCCCACAGTCACATTAAAATGCTCACTTCTTATTCAGCATACATGCTAAACAGTACTTATGTCTCCAGCTTTTGTGAATGGACAGCAATTGCCGGATTTGGCATTCCCAAGAAATAGTTGAGAAAAATGGAGCCATGGAGTGACTTTTGGCTTATTGGAATTGATGTATTTCGCACGGTACCCCGAGTCCTTCACGTGTAGACCGGTGGGCATCCTCCGAGATAACCGTTGCTCAATCTCAGGTGTATGTTGTTGGATTACAAATAAAACTCCAAATAGAGTGGACAGCTTTTTTCATGCAAATGAATCTTAATCTTGCCCGTCTGTGAACAGAAATAGCTTCTCCTCCAGAAATACATGTAGCCTATATTATTAAATGATTATCCTGAGGCCCCCTCTTGTATGCGAGAAAAGAAGGTTGAATGCGACGAGTATAAACCAGTTATGAACCAACATTGGAACGACACTGAACCTGTGTTGAGGAAATTGAATATTTCAGTGAAACCTACTAAAGACCGCTCTTAAGGTCAAGTGTCAATTTTACGTACGTATGTGTACTTCCGTATTATACACCAAAACAAGCACGCACGCGTGGTTGCTGGATTGCTGAAGGGAGGTTGACAATTAACATGCGCAATCTGTGCCTGAATTCACAAATTGTTCATAACTTTTTGAAAAGGAAAACAAGAAACAGGGATTTTTATTTCTGACATGAATACGTATCCACATTGTTCACCAGAACTTCCTGCTATGTCACTTGGGGTGATTTTGTCGGAGAGAGGAGCATAATCAGCTCTTTTCCCCCCTACGCATGAAATTAAAAAACCATCAAATCTGCGGATGTGTAAGCAGATGATTCGGCTTAGTACCCTGGCTCAGTAACCTAGGGGAAAGGAGGGTTCGTACACACCTTTGATTAGACTGTTCACATGGTTTCTTCTTGCCAAATTTCCCGTAGGTGTTTGTCCACGTCTGTGCCCCATCTGACATGGGCCTCATAATCGAGAGATTTTTATTTGTCCACACAGAGTCATGCCTCTTTCTGTTAAATCGAAGCGTCTTGCAAGCGAAGACACAATCTCAAGAGTAAAAGGGATAGTTTCTGTATTCAGAATCTATTTGTAGAGCTGGTTATGTGCTGCAAAAAGTTACCTGAAATTTATGGCAGACGCTTTTGAAAGGCAGCTCTTTCCTAAGTTTGAACACTTGGGTACAACTTTCTGTAGGAGTGTTGCTGCTTGAGCAACCATGCAGCTTGATCCACTGAAGCCAAAACGAAGAATTCAACTTTAGTCTTGGGCGAAACTCATTGTAGAAAAAAAACCACAAGTTTCATATTTATTTCTTTTAGATTGAATATTCATGTTACTGTCTCAACGATAAATATGATCCAGTGTGTAAATTTGTGCCTGGAATAATCAACAGATATACCAACAATGACGATTGATTTGGACTGTAGAGAGTCACGAGACCATGTGATAACAGAGACTCCAGTGCTCGTGCGATTATTGTTTTGTAATTTTTGTACGTTTTCAATTTTGAGATGAATATATTGCATCGTACATGTGCCGAGACCTCTCCTTCGTACCTGGCTTTGTAGGCAATTTAAACCGTAACCCTGCTCACATCCCTGGGGTAAAATGTAGGCTTAAATGCACACTTCTTTTCAGATTTGTTTCAAAAGGCTAATTCTGTGAGGACCGTGCAGTGTATGTTCCGATTAATTTTCCAGTGGTACGGTACCTGGCTTGAAGCCACGGACGTTCGTACTATTATGATATAAAATGTTTGGATTTTTTTGCAATATATCTTCAATATAAAAGAGAATTTGTAGCAATCGTTTAGGCCACGGGTGTAATTTAATTGTGTCTTTAACAAGGTTTCCGGGGTATGACCGCTTCCGAGGCGGACATATCCTTCAAGAGCTGTTGTTTACGACGCGCTTATGTAGCAGAAATCGAAGTCAAGAACGCGAAAGACCCGATTCTGACACCACCATTTTTTTTTCACTGCAAATCGTCCGGCGCGAAAAGGCGAAACTGCACATCGGGAAACTTCCCCATTTTGGTTTCATCAGGGAAAATGTCACAAGAGTGCGCGCGTGACGCGCCCGCACAGCACGCGAGTGTCAGACGAACTGTGCGCATTTCAAAACGTGTTCGGCGCGGCGCAGACTCGGTTTTACCGTACTGTGGCCTTATCCGTGCTGACTCGAACCGTCGTTGTCGAATTCAGCGAGACATCCTGCGCTGAAATATCCTCATTTGTTCAAAGTTTCCGAAGTAAATGCAGAATATTTCATGCCGTGATGGGATTAGGACAATCGAAGAAATCGAGCCGCGAGAGCCAATCTGATTTCAAACCGGTAAGTACAGGGTCAATTCCTTCTTGTAAATAAAAAAAAGGACAAGGCACAGTTACCCCTCTCAGCAATCCTTACTTTGACTAGAACACCTTAATTTGCTTTCAGGTGTTTAACTTTTGTCAGAGAATGCATTGCAAAGTCTACTGACATGATTGAAGGATTTAGAACTCGTGAACTTTTTTTCTACTTCTAGATTTTGTCTTGCAGTTAATGTGGGGTTCATTACCTTTCGCACCCTGTTCCTATTACAAGGGAATGAATTCTACTTTTTCGAAATAACTTATCTAAACAAGGTGTTGGGGATGTCCTCTTTCATATCAGAAAGAAAAGAGAATTAGGCTTTTGGTTTTAGAGGGAAATTTGGTGTAAAACGGCAGCGTACATGACTGTCCCGAAGTACGAAGAGCATTGAACGACAGATTAGCGAATGTAGTCTGGTTCCTTGACCTGGATGGAGATTTCTTTTGATGAATCCAAAATACCCGAGTCAGGGAACCAGACGAACAACCAAATGGCGTGATTCGACTAAGTCTTTTGCCAAACTCGGGTTAGAAATTTGAAGTTTTCTTGCTTAAATATTGTCAAAATTTTCCTAAACTAGGCCTATCGGGATTGAGTAATGATTCCTTAAGGTCAAAATGTTAAGTAGTTTGAGAAAGTGAACTTTGTTTCCTTTGTTATAGGAACAGGGTGCTAATGGTAATGAGCCCCGTTAATGCAAATGCGGTTATGGTGAATAAATTTTGAGATGTCCCGGGGCGTGCCACCACGCTCACTAGGCAGAGACGCTGCTTAGTCCCGCCCTTTCCGCGAAGAAGCTTTTCTTTTTAACAATCTCAGGGTCAGTAGAAAGACTGAGGCCTACTTAAAGGCACTTTACACTTGAAAGTGAGGGAGTATCATATTATTATGCATTTTTGTCCAGTCCAGGAACAGAATGCAAAATAGGACCAAAATTGATCACGGGAATGTGAAACGCTTTTCATTTTCAAACGGCTCTTGAATGCAGAAGAAACAGTGGGCATGCATAAAGGCGGAAGAAAAGCCCTCGATGTTACAAATGGGTTTGGGAAGTCTGTCTTCTGAGGAGATCCCGCGTTTCTTTTTTTTTTTTTTTTTACATTGCCACAGACTAGGGCCTCCAGGCAGAATTCTGAGCACTCGATCAAATCGGAGCGTTTCGTCCCGCCTCCAACTTCCCCGACCCCGGCAATCTGCACCGTCGGCCCGGTCAATGAAATCCCAAATGCCGCTGAAGCACAGCCCCGTCTCAACGAGAAACCGGCCACTATATTCTCGACGGGACTCAATAACAAGGTTTGTACAGTTTTACCAAAGCATGCTGGCATTTCTTCACCACCCCTTGCTAGTATAAGATTGATGTTAGATCATTGTACTTTATTACACACAGTTTTGTAGGGTTACGCGTACGCTTTGTAAAAAATGCCAATGAACAATTGAACACTTTATTTTGGCGCAGGAGCGGGAGGCCCATAAACATACTTTTCTGAAAAGGCAACTGTTTTTAGCAAAAGGGCAATCACAAATGCAATTTAATCCGAATTATTGCACTTTCTCCTTATCCAAAGAAAATTCCTGGTCCACCACGTGCCCTGAATGCGTTGACAGTAATAACCCTATAACCCTGCCTTATTTTAGCTGTGGACGTTCTCTTATAGCTAGTTGGTAGCCTGTTTCATCGAGTTCGAGAGTGACAGATAAAAATTTAGGCTATGAGCCGAAATACACGCCTGGGTACTTTCATGGTTTAGTTGCTACGGGTATAGTTCTTTGGTTGCTACGTGTATATATGTAGTTCTTTTTCAGAGTGAGGTTGTGCGTATATAGTCTTGTTGATGTGGTGATACAAAATAGTTAAACTAGCAAGCGTCTCACGACACACTTTCGGCAAATCAAGAAAGAGAAGTGCTTTATACACAGATATAGTAACTGCATAAATCCCCCATGGTTGATTGTTATCACACGTCATTGAACTATTTGTTGTATTCTACGGTACCTGCGAATAGAACTTCATTTCACTCACTGGTTCCCGCCCCATTTTATATATTTCACTCCCAGCAAGAAAGAGGAAAATAATGCAGGGACGGGAACCGGTCTACCATTACGCGGTAGGCCTACTACTTGTAGCAGTGGGCGGCGCTTCGGACACGAATTTGTTTCGTGAAATGGCGGACGCTAACACACGCGAGGACTGTTTATTTTCCTAACATAGAGGATTAATTTTATTCAGGTATTGCATAAAACACAATGAAGGTTTCAGATTTGTGCAATGGTATGAGGTAACGTGAAGCGATATACTAACCGTCCAAACGTTTGTTTGCGCGGTGAAGCATTCCATTACTTTATTTTATCAAAAAGAGAGACAGCACGGGAAAAAAGTGAAGAAGTTTCGTCTGTTTGACGTCTGTCTGATGCCCCCAAAATTTGCATACTTCTTGTCACTACGATGACTGCAAATTGTCACACGAGACTCTGATTTTCCGTCTTCCGTTCATCGTTTCTTTTTTTCCGATGGGAGACTGAGAGAAACTTGGTGGTCGTAAATAAGCTGGTTCTTTTTACCAGTTCTAAACATGCGCCCGAGGTTCTGAGCATGCGAGCATAGTTCCAACGCGCAATCCTGTGAAAAGACCGATGTGTCCGCTGCCACCAGCGTCTTAAAGTCTCCTTTTTCATAACAGTGAAATCGTGCACCACTGCGAATACACTCGAGTTTTGGAAATGGACGTCCAACAATTGTTCACTGACTTATGCAATCCTGCAAAGTCGTGGATAATGTAAAACAGAGTTCCTTCTATTGTTTGGATTTACAGATTTCATACGCGAATGCGATCGAGCTAGAGAAGAGACTGAACAAACTTCAGCATGATGGCTCCTTGTCCGGCACAAGTGAGAAGAACGCGCACTGTCTTCGACAGGGGCAGCAATTGCATCAGGAGCGGTCACTGGAGCCTCTGCAACAACAGCAACAGGAAGAACAGCAGGGATCGCAGTTGCAACAGCTTCACCAAGGACAGCACTTGCAGCAGCCCCAACAACATCAATCTCAAAAGAGCCCACAACAGTCTACGCAACAGCAGCAGTTGAAGCAGCTTCATCAGCAGTCCGTAAAGAGTCAGGCTCAAACAAAGCATCAGCCTGCACAACAGGAAGCCCATCAGTTTCCAAAGCAGCTGCAACAAACAACTCTACCGCAGAAAGACCAGCAGCACTCTCAACAGCTTGTACCTCAGCAGTGCAAGAAGACGCTTATCAGGCAACAGCAACACCAGCCCACGCTACAGAAACAGCAAGAGAAGGTTCAACAACTGCAACAAATAACACCTGCTTGTGAACTGCCACAAATTAATACTACTCCGCAGCATCACACGCAACCGGCGCAAGAAATTGAGCGACAAAAGCAGCATCGGCGACTTGCGCAGCAGGACCAGGAAGTGCAGAGGCCATCACAGCAGCAGCCTAAGCTACGATCGAAGCAGCAAAAAGAGGCAGCGCGTCAACCTGCACCACAACTCGAGCAGCCCGAGGAGCAGCTGCAAGTAAAACAACAAGCAAGCGCAGCAACACGAGAGGCAGGGTGAAGCGCAGCACCAGCATTCACAGGAAAAACAAGAGTTGACGGAACAACAGAAACCAATGCCACAACATCAGGAAACGAAACAAACACAGTGTCAGAAACAAAACCTGCAGCAGCGACAGCAAGACAGCAGCCCAACGCAACAAGAGCAAAACCAGCCAGTACCGTTGCAGCAGCAACAGCAGATGCAGCACAACTGCGAACAAGAACAGGTCAATACTAAAAACCAACCTCAGCTACATCCACCATCTCAGCCTCAACAGCAACAGAATTATTCACAAGTGGTGCAGCAGCAACAGCGCAATCAACAGCAGGTAAGGGTCAATCAAGTCCAAAGCAACCTGCCGAAGAAATCCAAGAAGCAAGTCAAGAGAGAGCAGAGGCTCCGAGTATTGCAGGAGCAGCAACTTGCCAAGAATGCAGAGCGCGACGAGCAACACCCGACTCAACAGCATCCCCGACATCCGCGCCAAGAACAAATGCAGCAGCCGACAAATCAAGTGTCACAGCCACAGCCCCAAGTCATCGCGCTGAAAGAGCAGCAGCAGTCCAAGAAACTCCAAGAACAGGAGACACTAAAGCCTGGACGGCAGGAACAGCTAGGACATCCCAAGTTGGAAAAGAAAAATCAGCCAACGTTGCAACAGGCTCAACACAATCAGCCGAATGCAGATCAAGACCAGAAAGACAACAAAAGCAAACAGAATCCTCCCAAACAGACACATGAGCGCGAGAAAGCTCCCAAGAAAAAAACAGTGAATGTGGAGCTCGCGGCAACGTACAGGTCCAAGCAAAATTCAAATTCGAAGGCACAAAACAGTTTCCCACGAAATGTTGTCAGAACACAGGGAAAACCTGTACCGCTGATGGGTATCAGTTTTCCCCGTCAGAAAAGCAATCTCCCTCAAGAGCCATCGGCGGCATTTGTACAAACGGCCACTCAGAGCGGGATGCAAAATCAGAAGAAGCCCTTCCTCACAACTTCGTCTAAACCAGGCACGCCAACTCCCCAATCAGAACAGGATCCCCGGGCTGCTGTTATTTCCTCGCAGATAACCTTCCAGTGCCCTCAGGAATTTAGGAACGAGGCATCTCAGAAGATGTTTGATCACAAAGAGACGTCGACCGTACCTCGAAAGCAAAGATCCAGAACGGTCTCCAGCGTGGGTCCTAAAGAGAAGTCCTGCCAGTGTGGCCATCAGAAACAAGACAAGATGAGAAGTCCAGATCGAGAAAAGCTAGAGCAAGATGAATCACAAAAGAAACTGCTGCTGGAGCAATCTTCCCAGCAACAGCAACATCAGCGAGAGCTGAAGCACACTCACCCGAACCAAGAACAGAGACAGCAGAAAATAAAACAAAATCCCCCGAAGAAGCAGAAGGAGCGTGAACGTCAACAGCAATATCAACAGCATCAGCAGCAAGGACAAAAACAGCAAGAGGAGTTCGCCTCAGAGTCGGCAGCTCCTGTTGTTGCTAAGGGACGGGCCAAACTGAAAGCCGTCCATGAATTCCAACCGCACCCCCCGGCGTTCGCCGCGAGTGCAGCGGCATTCCAGGCCCAGCTTGCTCTCACGCAACCTCCTCAAGCACCGCACACTGCTCGAAAACATAAGCCGGTGGCGGGGGACGCAACCATGGAGATGTTCAAAAGCTTACAGGTCCAAGACTCTAGCGTGGCGGCGCAGGCCAACAGCGATGCCCATCCTAAGTCAAAAACAGACGACTCCAGGGCCGCAACGCAACAAAGTGTCGCTCCCTGGGCCGTGGTGTACAACAAGGTTTCCGATGAGGACTTGCTGAGTGAACCGTCGGCAGTAGACACAGGCAAAAAGGAACGCCGTGAGGGTCACGGATTTTTCTCTAGGATATTCGGCAAAAAGTCTAAAGCACTTAAAGCAAAGAAGGTGCCCTCCTTGGAGATCGAACAATTGTCGGACTGCATGCAAGGCCTGAAGATTGACTCGTCATCTCCCATACAGGATGTCGATGTTCATGGAGAAAGCGATACCGATCATAGCTGTTCGGACACAGAGGTGCCACCCTCCAGCCCGGCAGACGATGAGGGGTCCGATTTGGCTGAGAAATCAGATGAATCTTCTGACCTAGAACCCCCCAGCTGCATGGAGGCCTGGGAGATCGCCGACGATGTGGTGGAGAAGGCGTTGTGCCTTCTCCCGATCCAAGTGGGCACTGTGCACTCGCGGCGATTCACGGCCCCGGACTGTCCCTTCGAGCCGGAGCTGGTCCAGCGGCTGGTCTCGGACGCCCTGGAGGCCAAGAGGGGGCTGAAGCGTATCAAAGAGAGCCAGGCGCTGCTGGAGACCTTCCGGGACTGCCTGCTGAAGTTCTTCGAAGGGAAGGACGTCGGCGACGTGCTGCCACCTTGCAATCACGCACCGGGGTCGCATCAGTGTAGCATGCAGCCGGTCATTCAACCACTCTTGGGTATCATCCGCCATGTTCTTCAGGAAACAAAAGCAATTGGTGGGCCAAAAATGGAAGCTGGACAGCGACTGAACAAAGATGGAAAAAGCCAGGCAGAGCCTGGAGAACTGCGTCCCAGGCGCTACATAAAAATCAAAAGGAAACTTACAGCAACGCAGGTTGGTTTAGCTGGCCTAAATTTTACTCCTACATTTTTTATAGGGATAAAAATAAATCATACATTTTTATTAACGGTCCTGTAATACATGTATTGCTCTAAGAAAAAGATCCATTTACCACGCGCTTTTATAGAACTATGTAATTTTGTAAACGCGGTATTTGTTACTTATTAACCCTTGGACCCCTTCACAGTTAGAGTATATGTGAGATGCCATTACACTACCATGATTGTATTAAGGGCGTAACATTTAGGGCCTGTAAGCAAGGACGCGGGATTTCAATCCCGAACTCGAGCATCATCATCGGTGGGTTCTGTGCACGGTTTTACGCTGACAATGCTCGACACCTCATGCTTGCAGGCATTTCGGGCACCGACGAAGCTCTCGGTCCGTTTCTGCAACGCCTGCGCAGACACCAAGCAGCCAGACGGCCAGCCGCTGCTGAGCTGCGGCAGGTGCCCAGACGTCTTCTACTGCAGCCGGGAGTGCCAGAATGTGGACTGGATCACTCACAAGTTCACCTGCCCGGGAGGCGACCGGCGCTCCTATTGCAAACACCATGGCACGTAGACGGTCAGCAGCAAAGGAATCTCAAGAGAGTTCCAAAGGAACCCCTAAAGCCCAGTTTTCCATTATAATGGTCGTAACGAACGCCGACAAGATATAAAGACGTGAACAGTCACGGAAGAGACGGTGTGTAACGTCATTCCACCCCTAAATTAAACAAAATGGCGTCTGAAACGCGGAAACTTTTCGCAAAAAATACATTCTTAGGGTGGTGTACGGCCTCTTGAAGTCAATCTGTTACTCTAGTTTGATATTTTGTTTACGGACAGCAATTTTGTTGATGATTTGGACGTCATATGTTACTTACATGGAGAATATTGGCAATACGAGTGGTAGTAAGAGAGCGAGACATCATTGCACGCCGATCATGCCAAGCGTGCTTGTTTTAAAAGCCTACTCTGGCGACCTGCAGTCGGCAAAGTTGAATCAAATTCAACTTTGCCAATTGTCACCGTCCCTGTTTGCATTAGTGAAGATAAAAGTGTTTCCATATGATTGCGTATCGTCCGAAACCAATCGGCAATGCTTTGTGTGTGGCTTCATCCCGATATGAAACCAGGCTTTACCGGTTAAACGAGATTGTAATTTTTGTAGTTAAAAAGCACAAGTATATCAGCCATTGTGAAGCCTGCAAGGCGTCATCTTTTTCAACGGTTTGTCATGTTCCGATTCAATTGGATAAATGTAATTTCGTAAAACATAAACAAAACATCACTGCGTAATTAACACGTTTTGATGTCAAGATAACATTCTCACAAAAGAGAGAACACAACCCGAATCCAAGGTTGTTGGGGAAGGACGAATTCACTTTCGCGTTTTTGTTTTATTATTTGGACTTGGAACCATAGTCCGTGTTATAACTGAATCATTAATCATTTATCGCCCATCTCCACAAGCAGAGAAGCTAAGCCAGGTGAGAGAAACCATGAACTATGCAGCCAAGGACAAAAGGATTATCCCTTTTCCCCCCAACTTTTTTCACTAACGCACAAAATCTACTCTTTCCCTCAACCGACCCTCCCCCATGCTCCCCCAAAGAGCAACATGGCTGAGTTTGAACTTGCGTGGGCATTGGCTAAAAACTGAAGTGTTGAATCCAGTACTTACAGGAGTTGAATTAGTATTTAGAACACTGAAGGACCAGTTGAAATATTGGGTTTTAACACTGAATGTTGGATTTAGCACTTCCAAAGACTGGCTGCATGGCCCCTGTCTGCGCTTGAGTTCCACTTTTTATGCAGCCGGACATTTTGTCAAATGTTGGGGATACCTAGGCTACCATTTATTTTCTTCCATGTATTGTGCCATGTTTGCTTTCTGGCCTGTCTTGATGAATAGGACTTTTGAAGTGGAAGGTCGTTGGTTCGAGTCCCACCCAAGTAAACGTGCTATTTTTTTGCAAGTTCTCGGGCAAACCCTGAGATATCAGTATTACAAATACACGTCGAGGTATGGGCAAAACCCGTTATTAAACCATGTCTAATGCATGCACACGGAGCTACATGTATACACAGAACCATGGAACCGGAACTCAACGCGTCAGCTTGGGTGTTCCCTAGTCGACCCGGATATCCGAGCAGTGGTCACGTGTAAGGTACAGATGGCGTCGAGTAGCCTGGAGCAATGCCCAGTTGACCGAACACTGAAAAATACGCATTGCGTGGTGAACAAAAAACCTCGCCACGTTTTATGTTGATTAGATTCACGTTCAAATTCAATTACCGTTGAACTGAAGTGACGTCACACTTTCCGAACCGGATAGCGCACACACCCATCCCCGTGCACATTTCAAAGAAACACTTCTGGTTCGATTTTTTGGGGGCCTCCAAATAATACCTGTGATCTATCCCATGAAACATAGCGTGCTATGCATGTTTATAATTTTATAATTTTCCAGGTTTTCAGAGTATCGCTAAATAGGTTAAAACCATCGAAATTTTTTGTTTAACATCCCTGGCGTTAATGTGAAAACAGTGGTCTTCGCGAAATGGCCAGTAACAGTCGTGACACGACAGCAGTCGTGACTCAAGTCTCTCGTTCAGTGTTCAACATAAGAACGCAGTAATTAACTTGAAACTCCCGCCAAAGAGCGGAGTAAACTCTAAATCTCAGCCTCGGCCCCAGAGAAACGTTTGAGGTCTCACCGCGCTATCTGTCCCTGCTCAGACTGTTTCATAGGCTCACGCGTGTATGTATTCCGAGCCGCCCTCTGCAGGCTCACCATTTGGGAGGAAGTGGGGACTCGACCTTCTTTGCAGTTCTTGAAAAGCATTGGGTATAAAAAATGGCCAGAACGTTAAAACAAAAATCCAGCATTGGCTTTCTTTGTTGTTGTTCCCTGTTTTGCCCTTGTTTAATGTTTAAAAATGTCACAAAGTAATCAAACTGCTGAATAAGAACATAACACTTAACAAACTTTGGGTGAAGTCGGATTGAATAGGCCTATACCGATGACGTCACACTTTATTTACAATGTGAACCTACCTATGGAGCCAGTGGGGGTCGACGTCCGTCAACAAGTTGTGGCATTGCATCGTCTGTACAGAAGTCTGTTCTACACAATTCTGTGGGCTCCATCGGATCAACCACCGCCACAAAGCCCACCGCAGGCAGTGTGACAGAACACTTTCGCCAAATACCAGAATATCGATTTGGAGTGCGTGTTAAACGGTTGCACGGGCTCTGTATAGAGTTGGTACAGCTGGAAAGAATCAGCTGTGTCAATTGTCTTTGAATTTTTGACCTCCGGCCTGTCATGGCTAATGTTTAATGTCAGAGTATCACATCTGGGTATTTTCAATAGCTATGCAAGAAACACTTCGACCACCGGGGAAGCGATCATATTTTCCCCCAGATTACTACGTGGCCTTTCTGCGCTTCCGTTGATCACCATTATGCTGCACGTGAAATTCAGTCAACACCACCATCAAAACCACATTGGCTTATGATCCAACTGGCTACACAAGACGAAACTGCAGCAAACTTTGTTACTTTTCAAACAAAATTACAAAAAATGAATTAAAATTTAAGGCAAGAGAACTTTTGGGACGATACTTAAGTGTTTCCTTCAAAATAACATCTCTGACAAGTGGAATCTTTGTGGAATTTGAATTCAAAACTGCAAACCTCGCACAGTACCTCTCATGCGATATCAGATTAAGAGAACTACAAAACCAATCATTACTGCGGCGCTAGTGTGAGTGCCATCCGACTTGTTCAGAGATAACTTATCTTAGTAAGTCGACTTATATTCCGTTTGTCGGTAGATGGTCTGGATAAATCCAGCCGCTTTCTCCTGGATGGCTTCCATCTTGTTAACAGAGGTTATGCGTTTCTGGCGTCCCCGTGGTGTCTCAGAGGATGTTTTGTTACTTGAATTAATTACATTGAACCTACAAAAGGTTTACTCGAGCATATCCAAGTGCTACAAATCCCTCTCCCTCGGAGGACACGTTAACGCCTAATCTATGTACATTTGTAGTGATTTGATGATGGGGATTCCAAACAGTGGCACAATGTTACATTTGAAGCAAGATGTTGGACGGAGAGCACCCCCACCATACACACACACATTTGTGTTGGTCATTATTTGACTAGAATCTCATGAATTCTCTACGAACATGGGGGGGGATGTGTCAGGTAAGAATAGTCTAGAGTGTGTATTGGGATTGGACATCATGATGTAGGGGGCTGCCCCCTCCGTCCCATACCTTGATGGGTGTATGTATAACCGTGGGTGGAAGTGTTTTCGATTCCTTTTGATAGGCCATAAACCCCATGCACAATCTGCAGTTCGAATGCCTTTGTACTGACTGAAGCCACCGGCGGCCATTTTATCGGGCCAAATACAACCGCTTGCAGTTGGCTCGCTTGCCATGGTAACCCTTCTTTTCATATTAAAACCAGTAAATCTTCTCGTTTTGCCTTTGGCATTTTGCTTAACAGTGGCATTTAAGCAAACCTTTGTACTGTTTGTTATATTCTGGACGGTAAGATGGACTCCGGCGGCTTCAATGAACTCTGTGTGCTGCGTAAGGGATTAGCCTACTGGTCCATATACAGGTCTTTTATATGAGGTTCGTGGCCCCGTCATCCGGCAGGCCTTTAGGGCGGTGTTTGCCATGTGGTCTTCAGGTAGAGCTTGGATGTGAAAGTTAGATCCAGGTATGTGCCCTCACCCAGGTGGAAGTCGAAGTTGATGCTGTTTATGCCGTGGAAGACTCGCAACCCGCGGTCACAGGTCGTCTGAATTAAACTTCGTCTGGCGTCCATGGCTGACCAAGAGAGCAGCATTCAGGATCTTAAGGAGGTGTGCAGTTCTCCAAAGTGCTCATTGACAGGTACAGTAAACAATCGAAGTCATGAGAAGGAAAGAATGTGGTAATAGTCCGCTTTGATTAGTGTTTCGACTGTTACCCAACCTTACAGAGGTTGCAGGGCAGCTGTCTTCCCGGTCAGTGTTTTTGCTCCACTGGTCACGCACATGAGTAGACCCTTTGTGTATATCCCCCCATGAGTAAAGCACTGACCAGGAAGATGGCTGCCGAGCATAACCTCTATTGAGGGCCCCCCGCAAATGACACCCCTCAGTGCCCAAATTATCCATACATCTGTATAGGTCACGTGACGTAACGGGGGGGGGGAGGCTATTCCATATGGTGGGAGTCATTGTTTCGGCGCAACTCTCCTGAACCAGGTGTATTCACACTGTGGACGTGGATGATTTACTGTACGACCTTCAATGAAATTCTGATAGTGGGAACCACCTGAAAGTTTATGATTTCGATTACAGGCTGGCCATTTTTCCCTTTTTTCCATACACACAGTTTCACCAATATAGTCTTAATTTGGCTTGCTTGTTTACCTGTTCATTTCCAGTGTCCACTGTGTAGGTAAATGTACTATACATGTACATTCCTGCTTCATCAATATGGCCCAAGTCTTGCCACGGAGGAAGGACACAGTAGGAGTTTTAACAGCCCGGGCTGTAACATCTGGCCAATTACCGCTTTCTGGCATGCTTTGTATTTCCATTGCCAGAGCGCAGCGAACGCTCGCTACGCACTATCTGTTTAACAACCACGAAACCCCTTTGTACCCTGTGATCACCGCCAGAATTTGTCGATGGTAATCTGCATCCTTGAAACTTTTTGCACTGAGGTATAGAGAATTGAATATTCATGCCTTTGTTGGTGCTCGGTATGATCTCATAACAACATCGAATGTAATGCTTGCGCAGTTGCTTGTGTTACGCCGTGTGCCCTAAAATGTACAAGCGCAGCCGTCGCCTTCAGTGAACGCTTTCTTCTGAAGTTCTTTCGGGAATATAGAGCTCCGTTGTTTACAAGTTTTTGTGTTTTGTTTGAATCATCTTTATTACGGCATTTGTACATAGCCTAAGTGTACTTTAGGAGATTTCAGTATCACTCCCTGTGATGAAATAGCGCATTTTGTTCCTTAGTTACCTGGCTTTCAAGTAGTGGTCAAGATTTTGTCTTTGAAAACGGAAAGGAGAATAAAATTACAAACTTTGGATGGATAATGGAACAATGTATCGAAATTAAAAAAAAGTGTATTCGGGATGGCAAAAGTGGGTCTAATATTAGGGATTTTTTTCTCTCTACTTACTGGTCACAGAAATAATTTGTATTTAATTGTAAGCAAAACATTACAAGTATTGCTAGGATATTACTGATCCTGCCTGTTCAGCTAAGATACAGGCAGTAATCGGGCATTATTTTTGGAATATTTACTATACTTTTCGTCCGACTCGGCGGCGACAATCATTGAACGCTTTGAAGTGCCAGAGTTGCAACTCCCTGTGTGTCCTTCCTCTATGGTCTTGCTAACCAGCTTAAGATGTTAATTTTATGTGCATAAATATATATTATATATTTTTGCCATCCATTTCAACGATGAGGCCTTGGTTCTGCCCGCCGGTTTTACTGTTTATTTCGTGAGCATAATTCTGCATATTTATCAAATCAAAGTGACAAGACACAGTGGTATTGTCCTTTCTTGAGCCCACGTCCCACCCTGTTACGATTACGCCACTTGACACCAGAACCCATCTCTTTGCAAAAGAGAGCAGCGAAAACAAACAGATATTGGGCCGTTTGTTTCCGTATCACGCAAGCTTTATATTGTTTAGGTAACCCTCAGGTTAGTGGGGAATATATTTCAACAAAACTGGATGAAGTAAAACAAATAAACCAAACACAAAGTTAAGTAAGCGAATGAAAGTTCTTTGGTTATCCAGATCATTGACAACTGATTATAAATTAAGCCAAAATGAACGGAAAGTCGCTAATCTGAGCGGAAATTAAACCATGTTATGTAGAAATGAATCAAACACACACACTCAACCACCCACACACTTGTTTTACATACAACGTGTGGACATTGCTTTGTTCTCCTGTGGATAAGGAAACTTGAGAATAATGCTACTTTTTTCTCTAACTAGGAAAACTCCTTCGAGCTGGATTTTTTATGATGATTTCCTGGACTGTTCCTATTCATTTTGCCACGGATAACCTTGACCCCAAAATGCCTCTGAAACTGTTTTTCAGAGAGGGGGAAACGTGTGCGAGTCCACGCTACGCCATCGCACCCTACATTATGTGGACTTCTTTTGCGCAGAGGTCCACACTATGTATGCCACGCATGCGCACCCATCCAAACAAACTGGCAACACATACAACCAAATAAAACAAGAAAACGTCTTAGATCAAATTTCATTTCAATCACCCAAATCGGGTTGAAACAATTGGGTAGTTGCAGTTTTCACCCTCGCGAAATTTAACCCAAGCAATTTTTCAGTAAAATTTCTAATTTCAAACTCTACTTCAACTTGCGAACATTTCAAGACAACGCGGCGACGCAGGACGTTGTTTTGTTTCAATTTGTGTTGTCTCATTCTGTTCGCTATTGCCAACTGCTGTTTTTATTTTTAATCAACAACTATTTGTTAGTTTTTTTGTTTTTTAACAACGTACAGAGGAAAGTGGGCCCGCCAACTTGATTCACGATTTCCGCGACTTGTTTGTGCCAATCGCTAGTCGTCACACCGGGCAGCGGCTGCAGACCCTTCTCGTCAAGCGCAGCGTCTGATCGCTACCATCATGGATATACATTTAACATCCGATAAACGGCATCCGTGCCGCCGGTTGGGGATTCCTGGCGCGCGCTCTCTCTCTCTCTCTCTCTCTCTCTCTCTCTCTCTCTCTCTCTCTCTC